GGCAGTGGCAGGGCCCGTGGCGGCAGGGCAGCCAGTGGCACTGGGGGCGGCTGCCGTGTTGGTGGCGGCGGCGTATGGGGCGGATAGTGGGGGGCGCGGCCGCGACAGCGGCGAAGCAGCGGCGGCGGCGGCGATGGTGGTAGGGTGGAAATGGTATTTGGGGCGAAGGGCGCTGGCCGCGGCGGTGGTAGTGGCTGTGGCGCGCCGCAGGGCAGGCGTGGTGGCGTGCGTGGCGGCAGCGGCGGAAGCGGGTGTGGTTGCGCAGGCGGGGTAGCGGTGGGGGGTTGGCTACCGGTGCAGCAGTGGCAGCAGCGGCGGCGGCGGTGGGCGTGGCTGGCAATGCCAAAGGCAGCGGCCGGGGTGGCGGCGGTGGCGGCGCTGGTGGCGGCGGCATTCGCAGAAGTGGCAGTGGCAGCGGCAGCCGCGGTGGCCCTGCTTGTGGGGGCCTCAACGCTTTGGAGGCACAACAGAGGATCGCAAATTGGGATTTCTTGGCTCTGCGCAGGGCGTCCCCGCACGGCGCTCATGTGCCTAAATTCCTCGTTCCAGGCGTGTGCAAAGCCCCTGGTGGGATTAAACCGCTTTACTTGCACAGGATTCTTTCTACAGCGATTTCCGTTGCAGTTGCAATATCACTACATTTTGGGAGTCTCAGGGTGATTTTCTTGGTCAATTCTGGGGATCCTCCACAATTTCACCGAAGCCCTGCCGAGGCAGTGTTGGGGGCTGCGCAGTGTGGCGCGCTGGGCCCTGGAGGAGCTGCGGACAGCCACGTCCGAGGTTGAGGAAAAATATTCATTTCTTGTGGGGGGGGGCGCACCATTGCGCACGGGGGCGCACCATTGCACTCGCCACAGCCATCGCCCGCCGCCCTCATGTTCCACCGCCCCAGCTACGCTGCCGCCATCGCCGCCTGTGCTTCATGGCTGCCCCCCAGCCCCGCTGTTGCCGCTTTCACTGCAAGTGCGACCACTGTAGCACCCCCACACCGATGGCCGCGCTCAGCCCCACACCAGCACTGCCACCACCTCCACCGGTAGTAGTAGTAGTAGTAGTAGTAGTAGTAGTAGTAGTAGTAGTAGTAGTAGTAGTAGTAGTAGTAGTAGTAGTAGTAGTAGTAGTAGTAGTAGTAGTAGTAGTAGTAGTAGTAGTAGTAGTAGTAGAAGTCGTAGTAGTAGTAGTAGTAGTGGTAGTAGTAGTGTTAGTCGTAGTGGTAGTAGTGGTAGTAGTAGTAGTAGTAGTAGTAGTAGTAGTAGTAGTAGTAGGTAGTAGTAGTAGTAGTAGAAGTAGTAGGTTGTAGTAGTAGTTAGTAGTAGTAGTAGTCGGTAGTAGTATAGTAGTAGTAGTAGTAGGAAGTAGATAGTAGTAAGTATAGGTAGGAGTAAGTAGTAGTAGTAGTAGTAGTAGTAGTAGTAGTGTAGTAGTAGTAGTAGTAGTTAGTAGTAGTAGTAGTAGTAGTAGTAGTAGTAGTAGTAGTAGTAGTAGTAGTAGTAGTAGTAGTAGTAGTAGTAGTAGTAGTAGTAGTTAGTAGTAGTAGTAGTAGTAGTAGTAGTAGTAGTAGTAGTAGTGGTAGTAGTAGTAGTGGTAGTAGTAGTAGTAGTAGTAGTAGTAGTAGTAGTTGTAGTGGTAGTTGTTGTGTTAGTGGCAGTGGTGGTGGCAGGAGTCGTGGTGGTGGTAGTAGTAGTAGCAGTAGCAGTAGTAGTAGTAGTAGTAGTAGTAGTAGTAGTAGTAGTAGTAGTAGTAGTAGTAGTAGTAGTAGTAGTGGTAGTAGTAGTAGTAGTAGTAGTAGTAGTGGTAGTGGTAGTGGTGGTAGTAGTAGTGGTAGAAGCAGTAAAAAAAGAAGTGGCAGTGGTGGTGGTCGTCGTAGTAGCAGTCGTGTGCGTAGTGGTGGTGGTGGCAGTAGTGGTGGTAGTGGTAGTAGTCGTCGTCCTTGTCGTCGTCGTCGTCGTCGAGGAGGTGGTGGTGGTGGTGGTGGTGGTGGTGGTGGTGGTGGTGGTGGCGGTGGTGGTGGTGGTTGTGGTGTGTGTGGCGGCAGCAGTGGTGGCAGCGGTGGTGGCAGCATTGGTGGGGGCGGCGGTTTTTGTCGCCGCGTTGTTGGTAGGGGTGCCGCATGGGCGGCGGCGTTGGCGGTGGTGGTGTTGGCGGCAGCCGCGGCGGCGGGGGGCGCGGCCGCCGTTGGGGTTGAGGAGGTTCTGGGGGCCGCGGCGTTGGCGCTGCGAGCGCTGGGGCGCTGGGTGCCTCGAACTAGTGGCAGCGGCGGCGGCAAGGCCCGTGGCGGCAGGGCAGCCAGCGGCACTGGGGGCGGCAGTGGTCTTGGTGGCGGCGGCGTATGGGGCGGGTAGTGGGGGCCGTGGCCGCGGGCGGCAGCGGTGAAGTAGCGGCGGCGGCGGCGATGGTGGTAGGGTGGAAATGGTATTTGGGGCGAAGGGCGCTGGCCGCGGCGGTGGTAGTGGCTGTGGCGCGCCACAGGGCAGGCGTGGTGGCGTGTGTGGCGGTAGTGGCGGAAGTGGGCGCGGTCGCGCAGGCGGGGTAGCAGTGGGGGTTTGGCTGCCCGTGCAGCAGTGGCAGCGGCGGCGGTGGGCGTGGCTGGCAATGCCAGAGGCAGCGGCAGGGGTGGCGGCGGTGGCGGCGCTGGTGGCGGCGGCTCTCGCAGTAGTGGCTGTGGCAGCGGCAGCCGCGGCGGCCGTGCTTGTGGGGGCCTCAAGCCTTTGGAGGCACAACAGAGGGTCGCAAATTGGGATTTCTTGGCTCTGCGCAGGGCGTCCCCGCACGGCGCTCATGTGCCTAAATTCCACGTTTCTGGCGTGTGCAAAGCCCCAAGTAGAATTAAACCGGTATACTTGCACAGGATTCTATCTACAGTGATTTCCGTTGCAATTGTAATATCACTGCATTTTGGGAGTCTCAAGGGGGCTTTCTGGCTCCACTCTGGGGATCCTCCATAGTTTCACAGAAGCCCTGCCAAGGCAGTGTCAGGGGCTGAGCGGTGTGGCGCGCTGGGCGAGCTGCGGACAGCTACGTTGAAGAAAAAACATTCATTTCTTTGGGTGGGGGGGGCCTACTATTCCACTCGGGGGCGCACCATTGCACTCGCCACAGCCACGCCCGCCGCCCTCATTTTCCACCGCCCCAGCTACGCTGCCGCCATCGCCACCTGTGCTTCATGGCTATAGGCGACGTGCCATAGAATAGGGCAAGCAGAATACAGCCCCTTCCTTCCCTATAAACGTGTCGGTTTTATAATAAAATGGGGCAAACCTCTTCCCACATTCTGACCTTCTTGGGTTCAATTCCTGGTGGTGCCTTTGGGGCCTGCTTGGGCGTACGGTTTCCAGCAAGCTGCGGATTGCTCGTGCACCTCCCACCCCCTGGGGCAACCGGAGCTTCGTGGGGGCTGGGCTGGCTCTGGTGGGGCAGGGCCTGCAGGGGCTGGGCGCGGCCCTGAGGCAGCCGCGGGGCCACGCATCTGGAAGCGGAAGCAGAGGCAACGCAAACAAAAGACAGAAAACCATCGAACAGCCGGGCTTGTAAGACCACGCCCGGCATCATATATATATACACATACACATACATATGCACATACATATATGTATATATGTGCATATGTATGTATGTATGTATGCATGTATGCATGTATACATGTATGCATGTATGCATATATGCATGTATGCATGTATGTATGTATGCATGTATGCATGTATGTATGTATGCATGTATGCATGTATGCATGTATGCATGTATGCATGTATGCATGTATGCATGTATGTATGCATGTATGTGTATGTGTATGTGTATGTGTATGTGTATGTGTATGTGTATGTGTATGTGTATGTGTATGTGTATGTGTATGTATGTACGTACGTACGTAAGCACGTGTGTATACATATAGTAATTATACACGCCCGCTCCTAGCCCTCATCTCCCCCTTCGACGCCCCCCGAGCGGCTCATGACCGAGGCGTCGCCGCCACCCCCCCGCGGGCGCCGGAACGAGGGCATGGCAGTGCGGTCGTTCTCGTCGGCGTTGTCCAGCAGGACGCCGAGGCCTGCGCGCACGGGCGCTCCCGCCCGCGGCTTCGCGGCTTCGCGGCTTCGCGGCTCTCCGCCACCGCGGCGGGGACGACGTCGTCGTCGCCGCCTCGGGGGGGCTCTCGGGGGTCTCTGGAGGCTCGGGGATCGCCGCGGCTGGGGGCAGCTCGAGAAGCTGGCCCGGATGGGCCCCTGGGAGGCGTGCAGGGACCGAGTCTGTACACATTCTGACGTGCGCCCTACGTCACACTCTTGCGCTCTCCATTCCCGCCGAACTGCGCCGACACGCCTGACAGACTCGATGGCCATCGTCATCATGCTGGGTTCCTGGGCCAACGAGGCCACCACGTGACATGGGCAGCCACGGCGTGACTGTGATACTTGTTCCAGCTTCGTTCTAGTCTCTTGTTTTTGTCGTCAAGCTGTGATAGAAACTGGCGGGCGAGCGAAAATGCGATCCAGCGCCCCGTAACCAACCGGCCTTCGGAAATGGCTCGGGATCGTCTTGGCCAGCCAGAGGAGCAGCACGCTGCAAGCGGCAACCCTACTGCACTCCAGGGTGAAACATGGCCGCCTATGGGCCTCTGGAGGGCATTCTGGATTGTTGGGGCGCCGTCTGAGACGATCCGGAAGCCGTCTAGAGGTGGTTGTCAAGCAAGGATGCTAAAAGCCAGTGTTTGCTTTGGGAGCGTCTGTGCATGAACGATGTAATATTCAGTCCCGCGGGAAGGCGGGGCCTTAAACGCAACCATCACTTAGTGATGGGGCGTCATCATCCTCATCATCACCACCGCCATCATCATCATCATTATCATCATCATCATCATCATCATCATCATCATCATCATCATCATCATCATCATCATCATCATCATCATCATCATCATCATCATCATCATCATTTTCATCATTATCCTCATCATCATCATCAGCATGATCATCATCATCATCATCATCATCATCATCATCATTTCCATCATGATCACCAAGCACTACCACCACCATCGCCACCATCATCACAACCCCCCACCACCCATCATGATCATCGCCACCACCACCGTCACCATCACCATCCTCATCGTCAGCATCCTATGCGTCAGCATCAGCATCATCGCAATCAGCATCATCATCATCATCATCCTGATCAAAATCTGTATCCCCATCCCCATCCTCATCCTTACTTCTAATGATTAAACACCCCCACATCCCCACCTAGCCGGCCGATAGTAACCCCGCCGTCCCAACTGTCAAAAAACAGCACAAATTCACTGCTTTTCGCCCACATGTCGTCGAGTTGCGAAAAATGTAGGAGGAATGGGGCGGATGTAACATCGCTCGGTTAACCGGAAGCGGGTGGTCGCGTCCTACCCATCAAAAAAATACAACATCAACGTTTTTCTCGTCAGCATGGACTTCCTTGTCGTCGACGCTGCGAAACGTGTAGGAGGAATGGGACGCAGCGCACATCGCGCGCGGACGCCTGGCCAACCCTACGCGGGACACCCCGTCCTACCTGCCAAAAAACACAGCAACGTCGACGCTTTCGTTGCCAACATTTACTTTCTCCTCGTCGGCGCTGCGAATCGCCTAGCGGGAATGGGGCGCCCCGCGAATTCCAAAGAGGCATTCTCCTCTTCCTCTTCAATTTCTCCCTCCCTCCTTCTCTCCCTCCCCTCCTCCTCCTCCTCCTCCTCCTCCTCCTCCTCCTCCTCCTCCTCCTCCCCGTCCTCCATGCGCGGCAGGAGCGAAACGATTGGCGGTACAAAACGCGTGGCTGGAATGAGACGCGGCGCACTTCGCGCGCTGGACATGTTGTCGCCGACGATGCAACATGAGAGGCCGGAGCGGGGCGCTGCATACATCGCGCGCGGTTTTGTTTCTCGTCGACGTTGCTCAAGAAGCGGCAGGAATAGGACGCAGCTCATGTCGCGCGCTGAACGTCTAACCACCCACGATAAAAGATGAGCGACAGGCGTCCGACGCGACGCACTTGCTTCGTATGTTGTGGGATGGCGGGTGGATGGACGGAGCCCTCTGGCTCGATCGAATTGGCTAACTTGACCCTCATCCTCACCCTCATCCTCGTGCTCATCCTCATCATCATCATCATCACATTCACCATCATCATCAGCATCCTCATCCTCATCCTCATCCTCATTTTCACCCTTACATCAGGGGAAGTAATGTTTCTTTGAATTGCGCGAGGTCGCCTGGGAATATTCCAGGACTGGAAGGCTCGCGGGACGGGACTTGCCGCGGGGGCGGGATTTTGCCCCGACCTATTTGTACAGACGGGACTTGGAAAATCCTGATTTGGTTCATTAATCGGAGGTTGGGGGGTGAGATCGCAGTGAAACGGAGACCCCCCACTGGGAAATCGGTTTCGGTTTCGAGTTCGTGTCGCGCGCCCGGGCGAGGCGAAGCTGCGAGTGATCCTCCTGTAGCTGGGCCGAAGAAGGAACGAAAATCCGGGTGCCCGTCCGCCGGTGGCCAGTTGGGCCGGGCGGTGTCCCCGGTGTCCCGGGTGTCCGGGCGCCTTTTCCCGTCCGCCGCTGGTCGGTTGGGCCGGGCGGTGTCCCCAGTGTCCTGGCGTGCCGGTTTCGATATGTGGTGCCCCGAGGTGTCCCGCGGTGTCCCGTGGTGTCCCGTTGGGTGAGATCGATAGTGAGACCGATAGTGAGATCGAGAAGTGTCCCGCGGTGTCCCGTGCTGTCCTATGGTGTCCCGTTGAGTGAGATCGATTGTAAGAGCGATAGTGAAATCGATGTGGTGCCCTGGGGTGTCCCGTGGTGTCCCAATAAGTGAGATCAATTGCGAAATCGATCGTGAAATCGACAGGTGTACCGCCGTGTCCCGTTGAGTGAGATCGATACTGAGATCGATGATTAGATCGACATGTGTCCCTCGACGCCCCGGTGTCCTATGGTGTCCCATTGAGTGAGATCGATAGTGAGATCGATAATGAGACCGATAGTGAGATCGAGAGGTGTCCCGCGGTGTCCGGTGGTGGCCCGTGGTGTCCCGTTGAGTGAGACCGACAATGAGATCGACAGTGTGATCGACAGGTGTCCCGTGGTGTACTATGGTGTCCCGTTGAGTGAGATCGATAGTGATATCGATGGTGAGATCGATGTGGTGCACCGAAGTGTCCCTCGGTGTCCTGTGGTGTCCCGTTGAGTGAAATCGATCGTGAGATCGATGTGGTGTTCCGAAATGTCCCGTGGTGTCCCGTTGAGATCGATAGTGAGACTGATAGTGAGATCGAGAGGTGTCCCTCGGTGTCCCGTGGTGTCCCGTTGAATGAGATCGATAGTGAGATCGACAAGTGTCCCGTGGTGTCCCGTTGAGTGAGATCGATAGTGAGATCGATTGAATCAGATGTTGGTTCCCCCCCTCTCCCCCCCCACAACCTCCTTATCACCCGAAGGGTGGTCGTATAGGTATTCATAAGCTCCCACGAGACGCCAAAGCCCAGCCCCACCCCGACAGCGCGTCTTCGCTAGGATTCCAAGGTGGGATGGGTGGGATGGAGGGAGCATGTATCATCATCATGATCGTTATCATCATCATCATCATCATCATCATCATCATCATCATCATCATCATCATCATCATCATCATCATCATCATCCTCATCATCATCATCATCATCATCATCAGCAACATCATCTTGATCACGATCGTCATCCGTCATCATGACAGCAATCGTTATGGCCATGATCTTCCCGAAAATGATCGTCGTCATCGCATCGGGGCTCGCCGACGCCACCGCTATGGACGCGATGGAGCTGGCCGCTGCTGACCTCGGGCACCATATAACCATGGCCGCAGTGCCGAACACATGAGTGCGCGTCGCCAGACGCGCGCAGAGATCCCCGTGCCCTGCGCGACGCGCATCTGAATAATTCACAGAATTTACTTCCACCGCAACATCTTCATCCTCATTTTCATCCGTTTCCTCATCCTCATCGTCATCATCATAATCATCACCACCATCACAATCACCACCATCACCACCATCACCACCATCACCACCACCATCACCACCATCATCATCATCGTCATCGTCATCATCATCATCACCACCATAATCATCATCATCATCATCATCATCAGCATCATCATCATCGTCGTCGTCATCCTCTTCATCATCATCATCATCACCACCACCACCATCACCATCATCACCATCACCATCACCATCACCATCACCACCATCACCATCATCATCATCATCATCATCATCATCATCATCATCATCATCATCATCATCATCATCATCATTATCATCATCGTCCTCGTCCTCGTCCTCGTCCTCGTCCTCGTCCTCGTCCTTGTCCTCGTCATCGCCATCGTCATCGCCAATAGCCCAAAATGGCCCCAGCCCCAGCCCCAATCCGGGTTCTGGCCCCAGCCCCGGGCCCCCCAGCCCCATCCGGACGTGGCCCCAGCCTGGGCCCCGATCCCAGCCCCGGCTCCGCTCCCGGCCAGCCCCATCCAACCCTGGCCCGAGCCCCGGCCCCAGCCTGGGCCCTGGCCTCGTCCCCGTCCTCGGCCTCGACCGCGGCCCCCGCCCGATCCCGCCCGAACCTCGAATGCATGAAGCTGCACTTCCCTGGTCAGGGGAGCTCGCCGAATTGTTTTTGGACGGGCTCGTAGGGATCCCAATGCGTCAAGACTTGGTAATGCAATGGTTTGGTTTGCTGGTGCTTCAGGATTTCCCACCTACACACTGTAAAGGATCGCGATTCCTCGCGCAGTGCTACCTCGTGAGTCTCGAAATGGCGCTCGTGGTCGACATCTCTGGTGGTCATTGAGTTCATGTAACCCCACTCAACGACTCACCGCTCTAGGTTCAATCTAAGTGTAGACAAACATCGCGCGTAAGCAAGCGAACGCAACCCCTCCGAGAAGCTTCGGTACGGACCCTTTTGTCTCAAAGCACAGTTCAGAAACCTCGCATTTCAACCGCCCTGCGAAGCCTTGTCGCTGGTTATTATCCCAATGCCCCACGTAGACGCCGCCATTGCGGTAGAAGAGCACGCCGTAGCCCTGTTTGTGGTCCTCGCGGGACACAGCGTACAGCATAGCGAACTCTGACAAATAGATGCTTGCCATGGCATGAGCCTCCCGACCAACACGCGATGCCGTCGGCGGACACATCACTGTAAACAGATATCGAACAACAACCCACCTGTGATACCGACAAGCCTCGAGATTAAAAAGACCAGTTGAGCACTGATTCTCAACAAAAGAGCAGTTCAACCGCCCAGTAAGGCCACCCTACTGTACATTACTTGATCTCGCATATGCCCCGCCACTAGATTGCCCTTCCTGCTGCTCCTTTGCAAGATCCATCCCACCACCTTATTTTCCTCGTTATGACGTTATGATGTCTCTCTTCCTCTTTGTTCTTCTCTTGCTCCGTTTCCTGAAGTGAAAAATGTTTCCCACCATTGTGATCGAATGAGGTATGAAAGTTGGTGTGTTCGTTACATAGTCCCTTCTCTTCCTGATCCATCCACCTCGACCCCACCGTCCAGACCTCCTCCCCTTCACCATCCCACCCCGTCCGCTTCATCCATGTCTCCTCCTCCTCCTCCTCCTCCTCCTCCTCTTCCACCTTGCTTCTGCTACTCCTCCTCCTCCTCCTCCTCCTCCTTCTCCTCTCCTCCTCTCCTCCTCCATCCGTCCCCTCCTCCCCCTCCTCCCCCTCCTCCTCCTCCTCATCCTCCTCCTCCTCCTCCTACTCCTTCTCCTCCTCCTCCTCCTCCTCCTCCTCCTCCTCCTCCTCCTGCGAAGCACTTGCGGCTCGAGTGGCCACCGGCCGGACTCACAACTCCCCGCTCTCGAGGTGCCGAGACGCCCGCATCGCCGAGGCGATCGACCTCGGCGTGCGCGGCTGGGCCGACCGCACCGCCTGGCCGCGCAGTGTGGGCACCAGCCATGCAGGCGGCACGCGCCCCGGCGCGTGCCGCCCGCCCGCCGCGACGCCAAGGCTGGGGACGCCCCCGGACGCGGCCGCCAGCGGCGCGCTCCCGAGCGGGCTCGGGCGAGGCCCCGCAGAGCGCAGGGGAGCCACCCCCGTCCGCCACAGTGCCGCAGTGCCGCGAGAGGCTCGGCGTCCGGGTGGCCTTTCCCCTCGTCTGGACAAGCGCGTCCCACGACTCGCGAAGGAACTACTCCCAAACGACTCGGATCCGCCGCGAAGGATCTGCAATCCATTACATAGAGGAAGACACGGTGGAGACGCGGCCGCAAGAAACCCTCGCCAGAAACCCAACCCAACCCTGAAAACCAGCTCAGTTTCTTGCCCAAGGGTTTCCCAGTCTGGGGCTCCCAGAGGAAAAGACCCAGGCGCCCCGGCCCGAGCAGCTCCTTCCTGGGTCATGCAAGGAAAGCGCGCCAGCAATGCTTTGGAAGCAACCCATGGCAGCCCGAAAAACTAGATTGGGATTGCGGCGACGCTCCTGCCTTTGAAGATAGCCCTACGGCGCCCCGCGGAGACACTGTGCATCTTCTCATGTCGCTGCTGAAGCCCGAATGTATGGCCCCAGGCCCCAAGAAACCGAAGGCGCCCTGGCGGGCTGCGAAATTCTTCCGCACCGCCCGCCGCGCCAATTCTTGGCGGGGATTACGCCGTGGAAAAAGCCCAAGGGCCTTGACACCAAGTGAATGATGCATGATGTCGTCGCCTCGCGGCCTGTAGATCGACATGCCCCCCTCCCGAAAAAAAAACGGGACTGCAATTGGATTTATTTGGTCATCGGTGCCTGGTTTTTTGGTATCAACCTGCCGAGCACTTAAAAAACCGAAGGCACCTTGGTGACCTGCGAAGTTCTTGCATGCCCATTGCGACGCGCTTCTTGATCGGGGTCGCGTTTTTGTCGGTCCATTCGTCTTCCTTTTTCCGTCAATTCTTACTCCCTCCCAGCCGAATCCGCGCGGACGCAGGGAACCAATGATGTTTTGGGCCCCGCGGAGTTTCTTCGGTAGCGGGGCGTTGCTCGCGCCAGGTGCAGCTGGAAGGAAACCCAAGGCATCCTGAACGCGCAAGTTTCTTGACGCCCGCGGGAAACCATCGCGCAACGCGCGGAAACAAGAAACCCAAAGAACCCTGACGAAAAACGCTCGGTTTCTTGATGCACGTCCCCGCTGCATGCGTTTTCTTCGGGCGCTTGCGAAAATAATGCTCTCTGCGGGTCGTGGAGCGCGCTCGGCGCCCACCGTCAGCATGGAAAACTGGACCGGGCGGCCGTGGCTTCTCCGGAACACAAAGGGGCCGCGGCCATCGAGCCGCGCGCCGTGCCGGCCCCCCCGGACGCCGCGGCTTTCGAGCTGGAGCGCCCTCCGGTCCCCTCGACTCCTCGGCCTTCTGGAGCGGGCGTTCAAGCTAAGGGGCCGCACCCCACACTCTCAAATGTTCCTGTTCGGCGGCACCTCATGGGGGCCTCCCATAACACCTTGTCGGTTTTTGCGAATCGACGCTAGTCGACGCTAAGTCGATGCTAATCTACGCTAGGTCGACGCTAATCGACACTATATCGGCGCTATTTCATCGACTCCCAGAAGCTAGTCGATGGTAGTCGACGCCAAAGGCAGAATTGTCAGAATACGCGCGGTTCCCATGATTTGCTGCCGAATGCCTGGGTTCCCGGCGTGCCTCCCACTTTTCCCCGGCGTTTCCCGCATGGCCTGTTCGGGGTCACGACCGCCCCCAAAACGGGCCAGGAGGGCCCTGAGAGAAGCCTCTGACCTACAACCCCTGGCGCGGTGGCGGAATGGGCCGAAGGCCAGCAGATCAGCCGCTCCCTGTTGCTCTCTCTCAGTGCTAGACTTCTGTTGGGAATCTTCTGACCCGGGTCAATCCAGACCCCGATCAGTCAGGCCTTGCAGGATCTGCAAAATCCTGCAGGATCCTGCGCCCAAGCCCGGGGGTCAACGCAACCCTGGTTTTGCGAGATCCTGCAAGCTCCGGCGCTTTGTCTGACCCCCGTTTGCATAGAGCCCCGTCTCTTGAGCCCCGATTATGGTGGTTTGGGGCTCTTTGACAAATTCCCCTTTCTGGGGTTTCGGCGCAACCAGCCAGCCACCCGGAAATCTCCCCAATCCATTTCTCGCTGGTTAAATCGATTCAAGAAAAACCATTCGGAGACGGCAAAAATGGCCCCAAAAGAACCCAAGGTGAATCCAAGGTGCACCCAACACGGCCCAAAGTGCACCCCAGACGGCACAAGATGGTTTCAAGATGGCCCCAGACGGCCCGAGAGGCCCCCAAGAGGCCCCCAAGACGGCCTTAGAGGCCTCCAAGGGGTGTTTCAAGAAGGCCCGAAGAGGCCCAAATCATTGATGTTTCGATGGTTGCTGAAGGATTGTGGCATGTGTTTTTGAACGGCCTTCCGACGGCCCAAAACGGCCCAAGACGGCCTCTAAGATCGCCCAAGATGCCTCCAATCTGGCCCCAGGACGACC